GCGAGAGCAGGGCGCGGCGGGAGCCAGCCGGGAGCCGAAGCCACTCAGGCACCTGTGCGTCTGCCCAACCGATCGGCGCACGCAGAGTGGCCCGCAGGCCCCCGCCCGGGCCCAGTCCCTCCCCGGGCCCCCCATGGCCCGGGACGCAGCCCTCCCGCCGTCGAAATTGTCGCCGCTGAAGCTGCCTCTACTGCCATTGCTGCTGCTACTGCTCCGGGAAACCGGTGAGAGACCGCAGGCGCCTCCCCGCCGCGCGCGAACCCATCCCCTTCCCTACCCCCAGCAGGAGGGTGGCGATGATGAGGCGAGACCACCCCGCTTTCCTTCACCCAGAGTTGGGAGTCTGAGGCCCGGTGAGAATTGAGGGCAGGGAGCCAGATGCCGAGGTCCTCGAGAGGGGTGGGGAGCTCGGACTTTGGGTCCCTTAGAGGGCCAAGAGTGATAATTCGGGCGACCTGGGGAAGGGCCTGCGAGCTCCAACCCCAACCCCGAGCCCGAGAGTGCTAAAGGCTCTGACTCCCGGGCCCCAGAAAAATTAGGGGCTGAGGGCTCTATCTCTTGGGTCCCAGGAAGAATGAAGGCTAGGGGCTCTGTTTACCGGGGTCCTGGTAGAATTGGGGGCAGGAAGGGCTCAAACTTGTGGGTTCCAAATTGTGAGCACGGGGCTCTGTCTCCTGGGTCCCAGACAGAATTGGGGGGAGGGGAGGGCAAAAGGCCCTGTCTCCTGGGCTCCAGATTTAATTGTGGGCATTGGAATGTCTCCTGAGATTCAGACATAAATGTGGGCAGAAACCCTGACTTTTGGGTTATAGATATAATTAAGGGCCGGAGGCCCTGTCTGGAGGCTGGAGGCTCGGTCGGCTGTGTCCCAGGTAGATTAAGGAGGCCGAGTCCCGCCGGCTAGGACACTTCCCTTTCCTTGAGAGCCGTCGGCGGGGCATCCCTGGGGAAGTTTTCCGGGTTTCACTTTCGCCGAGCCAGGGCAAGGCGGGGGCGGGCGCTCTCCTGGCTCCCGGTCCCGGACTCCCGGTTTCGGGACCTTATCTTTCCTCTAGTCGCGCCTTTGTCCTAGGAGCCGCAGCGGGAGGTGGACGCGAAGAGATGCCGCCCTAATCCGCTGTCTCTCCCTCTGCTCGGACCACACCCCCCCTCCCGTTTCTCCCACCTCCCCTAGGGGAGGGGTGCAGCCCCGGGAGAGGGAGGGGATGGGAGGAAGCAGGTGAAGGAGGCTCTAGCCCCGCCCCTTTGCAGGTGACCCGGCTGTTTATTCCCAGCTAGAAACTCAGGATACTGGAGTTTCCCAAAGGTTTGCCAGAAACTACGGAGGGAGCTTGCGGGACCCCTGGTCTTTTTTTCCCAGCATGTGTCTGAATTGTCTCCCAGCTTTGACCCAGAACTGTGTACTGACTCTTGCATCGCCTGCCTCTCCCTCTGTGTCAGAGATAGGGAGATAAAAGTCAGAACCTGCCACCTCTGTGAGAATGCTCAGAATCCACCCGACCTTGGGTCAGACATTGACTTGGTGCATGATCTCATGGAAGGCTCTTGATCACCCTGAGAGACAGGTCCAGTTCCTGTTCCCATTTTGCAGATGAGGAAACAGAGGCTCAGAAAGGGCAAGCCACTTTCCCAGGGTCCACAGCCAGTCTGCAGACTTCAGAGCCTTTCTTGCCTCTGCCCCGCCTGGTGGGCATCAGAAAATGCTTCTGAGCCTCCATTCCCTCCTTTGGAAAACTGAGATAATTCCTTCCCTGCGGGGCCATTGGAGGGGTTTAGAGGTCCCACTGGTCCCCGGGGGGCGGGGGGGAGCTCTTAGCACCTGAGGAGGAGGTCTTCCCCTTTCCTGAACCTCCATCCTTGTGCCTTTGCTCTCTGCTCTCCTCTCTGCCTCTCTCCTTCCCACCCTCCCTCCCTTTCTCCCTCCCTCTCTTTCTCTCTCTCCCTCCCCTCCTTCCCTCACTTTCTCTCCCCGCTTCCTCTCTCCATTTCTCACCCTCTCCCTCTGCCCCTCTGGCTCTCTAATCTCTCTCCAAGCTCTTTCTCTCCTCCCTTCTTGCCCTCTCTCTCTCCTTTCCATCCATCTCTGTTTCCCTGTCCCTGGCTCCTCTGCCTTCCCCCTCCTTGGCCTCCACGGAATGAGGGTGCACCACCTGGGCTTCCTGCTGTGGCTGCCCTCCCCAGTCCTCCCAGCTTTCACTGCTCATCCGTGTCAGCCAGGCAGCCCCACGGTAGCGGAGGGGGATGGGAGGAAAGGGGCTGCCGGCCTGCTGTCCCTTCCTGTTAGGGAAGGGGAACTGGACAGGGGAGCAGTAAGGGTGGGTCTGCTCACATCCTAGGGGGAGAAGAGGGGAGAGAGGGATACAGGGGGAGGCTGGAGATACAGGGATGGGGACAGAAGCCAACAGACGGAGGGCATCAGAAACAAATTTAAGGATGGGGTCAGAGACACATACAGGAATGGAACCGAGAGATGCGGCAATGAAATACAGCCACGGGGACGGGGCAGTGTGGGAGGGGGAGCGGGAGGGGGGGGAAGGGAGCTGGAAGGACATCTGGATAAAGGCAGGAACAGCATAAAGAGAGAGACAGAGGTTTGGTGACAGGCAGGGGGCCCAAGAGACCCCAGCCAGTCAGTGACGGCGATGCCATGACCCAAGGAGGTCGGGGCACAGGCGACCCTCAAGGCCAGCAGTGTGTGGGGGCCACGGGGAGTGGTGGACACGGGAGGGACAGGGAGTTGGGCACTCTGGCCAGCTCCCCCGCCTCCGCCAGGGATGCTGTTACATTTTTAATGTCCCGGTGATGCTGAGAAATGGAGCAGGAGGGGGAGGAGAGGGGACCCAGTAAGATGGCCCAGCAAAGAGCAAGTGTGTCACAGGTGTGGAGAGACGTGCAGAGATGGGGAGACCCAGGAGGCAGAGAGAGCTGAGGGTCAGAGACACTGAGAAATGGCGGCCCTGAGAGATGGAGACCAGAAACCTGGAGAGATTAGGGACCCCAGGAATCGGTGCAGGGAGCCAGATTCCAGAGACTGGGAGACCCAGACCCAGAAAGACCCAGACCTCAGATGTTGGAGGTACAGAAGAAAAAGAATATGAGAACAGCTAGGATTTTTTTGGCCTGGTGAAAGTGATCTGAAATTGATTGTGGTAATGGAGGCACGAATCTATGAATTTACTAAAAGCCATTGAGCTGGACACTTTAGTTTTATTTATTTATTTATTCACTTTTGGCTGCGTGGGGTCTTCGTTGCTTCATGCGGGCTTTCTCTAGTTGTGGTGAGCGGGGGCTACTCTTTGTTGAGGTGCACAGGCTTCTCATTGCGGTGGCTTCTCTTGTTGCGGAGCACAGGCTTTAGGCACGCGGGCTTCAGCAGCTGTGGCACTCAGGCTCAGTAGCTGTGGCTTGCGGGCTCTAGAGCACAGGCTCAGTAGTTGTGGTGCCTCGGCTTAGTTGCTCCACGGCATGTGAGAGCTTCCCGGACCAGGGCTCGAACCCGTGTCCTCAGCATTGGCAGGCAGATTCTTAACCACTGCTCCACCAGGCAAGTCCCAAGCTGGTCACTTTTAAAGGGGGAATCGTATGGTATGGGAATTGTATCCCAATAAAGCAGTTAGAGAGAAAGACAGACAGACAGACACAGAGAGCAGAGACCAGGGACTCCTGGGAGACACAGCGGGGGCAGACTCGGAACCCTAAGAATCAGAGGCAGAGACACAAGAGATCAAAGAGACAGGACCTGCAGGAGGAGGAGGCCAGAGTCTCAGATACAGAAATGTTTTGGTGTAAACTCTACGCTGGGCAGATCAGTAGGAGTGGGGCTCTGTCTGAGGGGCTTGACCAGGAAGAGATTCACCCCCAGAAGTATCAGACCCCACAGGGGAAACCTTCAGGGGGGTCAGTCCCCTGTAGAAAGGCAGGGAAATCTCAGACCAGGGAGGGAAGGGGTCCCCCGAGCTGAGTGATGACCACGATCAGAGAGGTGGGCTGGGGGACGGAGGTGCCGAAATGCGGGCCCAGGCAGACAGCCCCATATCCTGGCTACCGCTGCACACCCCCTCCTCAGACCGGCTCCTGGATGTCTGCTGTGAGGGTGGGCACTGTGATTAATGCAGTCAATTAATTGGCAAGGTAGCTGAGGCAGCAGCTGAGGCCAGCGCTCCAAGCACGCTGGCCTTCAAGGGCCTGCTGGAGTCTGCTGCACCCCGTGGTGAGAGGGCGGGTCATGATGCATTATTGGTCTGGAGGGCGTAAGCCAAGCCTGGAGGAGCCAGCCAGGAAGGGACCCAGGAGTCTGGGCCCCCAGCCCCTTCCTCTCTGCCTTGATTTCCCTTCCCCAGATCTCAGGCTATAAGTCTCTGCACCCCCCCAGATGTTTCCCCTGGGCTCACACAATGCCCTGGGTAGCCCCGACTCTGCCATCACAGGAAGCCTGCATCCCAGGGCCCAGGCAGAGGAAGCGTGTCTGGGGACCTAGCTGACACCTCATGAAGCTGTCACCAGCCTGGCTGGCCAAGGGAAGCTGAGGGAGGGCGGTGTTCCCATGGCCACACTCCCCTGCTGTGGTGCTGGTCACGTCCTGGCCAAGGTCAGGGCACAATCACCTGCCCAGCAGCGTGCTGGACACTAGGGTCCGAACTCCAGGCCAGCCTTCCTCCTGGCATCATTTCTCCTGCTTCTGCCTGAAACGCAAAACATCTGGGCATCAGCCCACACTAACCCCGTCCCCCTCACCCCCACAGCCAGTCAGCTTCCGTGTCCCAACCATTCCAACTTCTGAATGTGTTTCCAATCTGGTTCATCCTCCATCCCCACAGCCCTGACCCCTGAAGCCCGACCCGCTCCATTCTGAAGGATTTTTCTAAAGCATAAACCAAACCCTGTCCCTCCCCCTGCCTATAACTCTCTGTGGCTCCCCAGTGCCCCCAAGAAAAAGCCCAAACTCTAAGTCAGCCTCAGCCTATATGATCTAGTGCACTGCTGATTCCCCGTCTTCATCTTTATCGAGCTCTTACAGTGTGCCAGGCACTGTTCTAGGCTCTGGGGATACAGCAGTGACCAAGACAGACGAAGATCCCTGCCCCCGGCACTGATGTTCTAGTGGGGAAGAGACATCAGCTGTTATGAGGAAATCGAAGCAGGGTCAATGGAGTTTCTGTTCTCATCATTAAGGTGGTCAGGGAACGCCCCAGAGCAAAGATCCGAAGGGAGGGAGGGAAGGGGA